CAGTCATATTGGCATGGAAGCAATCATGAAGCAAATACAACACCAGCTCAAACAAAAGCAGGAGCAAAAAGCATCATTAATTAGACAACTTGAAGTAGTCAAACGTGAAAAAGAACAACTACAACAAACATTACAAATTTTATCATCTTATTCATCACCTAAAGAAGAAGCAGCTAGCAGCTCAACAACGAAGCAACCAAAAGAAGACATTCAAGAAATATCATCCGATGATAATTAGCCACAAACAATACTCAAAACAGAAAAACAACCTATGACATCAAATCCAGAAGAATATCCACCACTTCAAGCCGATCATAAAAATATAAAGAAATGGTATGTGATTTTCAACAGAGAAAACAAAGGAATCTATGACGATTGGGGAATTGCCAATTCATATATTCTTGAAAAAAATGTCATTCACAAAAGTTACAAAACAAAAAATGAAGCAGAAGCCGCATACAACGAAGCATACAAAGCAGTCATAAAATATAATGTCAAATGTTCAAAAACAGTTCTCCTTACACCACAAAAACCCATATCCAACTTTACTCCACAAAAACCTGTATCCATCCCTAAATCTCTTAACCAATTAAATGCCAAAATTTCCCTTAAAGCCATTCCATCAACTAAAGAAAAAGAAGCAATGAAAAAACCATCTGCTCAAAAATTTGCTAGATTATGGGACAGCCTCATTTCATACATCGAAGTCCATTCTTTGATGGGCTTTTACCGAGTAGCCAGGCGCCCATGCCCCAAAGCAGTCTTCCTAGCCGATTTATCAGATCCTATGACTTTAGGAGATTATTTTATTCACGGATTTATCAACACCATCTATCTAGAAGGCACCAATTTACACTGCATCAACGAATTTCCATCTGCTGTGCAATCTGTCATCAGAAATTATAAAACACGCTTTGCAAAACAAGAGAGAGGATTATTCATTAAAATGCATTCCAGTTACCCCATTTTTTATGAAGACTCTCAACTAATTATCCCAAGCATTACTTTTGCAAACATGGGAATAAGCAACGCCTCGAAACCAACAAGAGATGATCTACCCCATGAAACACCAACACATGATCATCTAATTTTCGCACTCGCTGGTGTTTATTTAGCATCATCACGCATAGGCAACAGTAAAGATCAAAAGTCAAGAACCAGAGTGAATTATGCCAGTAAAACCTTCATTATCTATTCTTTAACAGACAGTGAAATCACTCCGGAAGCATTAAGAGCAATTGAAACTTTCGAACAACCGTTCGAAAATTTTTCTCATCAATTAGCTGAATTACCCGCTGATATCAAAAAACAACTTTGTAAACATATTATGCATGCACCAAGACACAATTGCAGCCATTGTTCATAGAATACAGAAGAAACACCATTCATGGAAGATTAACGTCAGCCATGACATAAGCAAACATTATTAAAAAATATTTGTCCTTTCGGTGGCAGGAGGAATGACGTAAGCAATGACGTATAAAAGCCATTATTATTGAAGACATTTTTGAAGACACACGTCCTTTTTGTTGTGGAAGGATGTATTTTATAATTTGTATATTATCTTATTTGTTGGTATTTGTCGTTATCGGTAGAATAAGTGTCATGTGTCGATAGGTTATATGTCATCTATCGAATATGACGTACAGTTTGTAAGATGTGAGATATAGTGTCTACCCCTCAATAGTTTAGGGGCTATATTGTAAATATGTTTGTCGTATTGCAATCATACGATTGCAATTCAATTATGTAACCGACTCTCTTGAGCCTCCCCCCGGGTTACTATCTTTCGCTAAAAAATACCATTAGTCTGAATGTCCTTGGTGTCGGAAAAAGATCAAACATTACTATAATTGTCATAACCACCTGAGGTGAATGCTTTTACCCGCATACTGGCATTTTCGATAGGAGCAAGACTGCCCCTTATTGTTTATTTTGTATGATTCTATAGTCATGTTTGACATACTGATTGAAAAGTTAGATGTTAGCTTATAAAAATGAATGTATGGTAAAACTAGTTGATAAAGTAGTAGAAATATGTGAAATGATACAAAAAGGCATCTAGAAGATTGAGTTTTTTTTATAATTAATAAATAGTATATGTGGGAATTAGGAGAGTTTAGAAAAAGCTCCATAAACTTGTTAAATGCTAGTCCATTAGCATTTTAAAAACCTAGCTTATAAACAATTTCTTGGTTTGCCAAACATAATTTAAAAAAGCTCGAAAAGCTAGTTATGGTGTGTCAAACTTAACAAAACCATATTGTTAAATAACCGATGTGTTTTTAAGTTATTTGAAAGTTACTGGATGTATCATATGCATACATTATTAACAAACTGTCAGATTCTTAAAATATAACAAATAACACAAAATAATAAGGATGATTTTATAATTAAAATTGCTTTTTGTTTCTTTACGTTTTTTATTACATTGGAGTTAAATACATCATCATATTGTTAGAAACTTTCAATCATATATATTTGAGTGAAATATTCATGAATAATTATATTTTTCTAATTATTAAATATATTTATCTTTTTTATTTTGGCTCCAAATGTACAACCATGGATTTTTTTTTTGAAATATAAAGAAAGAAGAATGAAAAGATGTGAGTACAAATTGAAATTGAGAAAATCACCTAAATAGCTTTTAGGATTTCAAAATCTTAGTTATCATATTCACATTTATTTTTCTCTAATATATTTCATCATTCACCACTTTCTTTTATGGTGAGTAACCAAATATGATTTAATATATATATATATATATATATATATATATATATATATATATATATACAAACATTTTTATTTTTTTTAACGACTAATTAGTGGTTAAAAGTTAAATTCTAACAATTTAGTTAATTTGTCAACGCCTAACTCGGGGTCTCTAATCTAAAAGGCTTCCACCTCTATCAAAATCAAGCAATAATTAGCATAAGTTGAAAATATGAGAGTTTTTAATGAATACGGTTGGACAAATACCATAAAAGTTCTAAGTTTTACAGGCGTAGTGGGGAAAATCCCTAACTTTTTTTTGGTTGCTAAAGACAACAATGTTCGGATTACCTTCCATTTTTAACATATTATCCGGTCATCAACGATCATCCTTATTTATTTTGAAAATAAAAGGTTTTCTGAAAAATTATGGTTTTTATCTACACAAAAAGTTAGAATTTTTTCCAACCAAGTGTGTAAAACTTGAGATTTTTTTGGTATTTATCTTTTCTTTCGTCAAACGAATTTATACACAAATGGTATTCGTTTATCTATAAAAAAAAACTTATTTTAATATCGTAATATAAGTATTAAATATGCATTGCATGTACTTTATATGTAAAAAACGTTTTTTTTACATATAAAAATGTATTTCTATGTATTTGTGTATGTATAAAACCCGTATTATACATAAAAATCTTATTCATATACCTATATTTTAGAAAACATAAAATACATAAGAAATATGATTTATATATATCAAATACGATTTTTATACATACACAAATATATACAAATACATTTTTTTATACATAAAAACATTTTTTACATGTAAAAATAAGTAAAATACGTATTTTATACATATAAAGTACATATAATATGTATTTTATACTTATATTACGATATTTATATGTATAAACATTAAATAAGTTTATTTATAGATATAAAAATAACATTTGTATATATAAATCTGTTTGACGAAAGGAATGACAAATGCCAAAAAGTCTCAAATTTTACACACTTGGTTGGAAAAAAGCTATAACTTTTCTTTTAGTTCAAAACCATAGGTTTTCAAAAAACATTTCATTTATAGGGATGACCGGATAATAGGTTAATAATGGACGGTCATTCGAAAATTATTGTTTTTACCAATCAAAAAAAGTGTTTGAGTTTTTTCCAACTACACGTGTAAAATTTAGGCTTTTTTTGGTATTTATCTAATATGGTTAAAAAATGATTTATCTTAAAAGATATTGATTTGACTGAGTTTTCTTAAAGAGTTATTATTATTTAGATTATTACTTACATGAAATTTTATGAGAAAATTACAAATATAACCAAAATAGTTATTTACTTTGTAAAAATAACCAAAAAAATCCAAATTACAAAAATAGCCATCAAAATCGCAAATGGATTAAACCCATCTGCGATTTCACCAAACCATCTGCGAACGTACAAGTCGCTAAAGCACATCCGTGCTTTAGCGACTTGTACGTTCGCAGATGATTTTTCTATTTTTATTTTTTATTTTTTTTATGGTATAAATAGGGGGTACAAGTGACTAAAATCGCAGATGAACTAAGTTCATCTGCGATTTCATTTTTTTTATTTAATTTTTGACTACGAAATTGATAGGATTTGACTATGAAACAACCATATTATATATAAATTCTTGCAAAAAATTATCACTTTTGTTGTAATTTCTTTGAAAATTTTGTTTAAAATCTTTTTAATAAAATGAATTAATATTTGTTTTGTCAAATCGTCCATAGTGCTTCCAGAGAGAGAGAGAGAGAGAGAGAGAGAGAGAGAGAGAGAGAGAGAGAGTTCTTCAACGAAAAGTGTGAAAAAATAAACACACAAAAAAATTTACGTTTTTATACCTGCGAAAAAGGTGAAATCGCAGATGGAATGTGAAATAGCAGATGGACTACTCCATCTGCGAACGTACAAGTCGCTAAAGCATGCATGTGCTTTAGCGACTTGTACGTTCGCAGGCTTTGTCAAATCGTATATGGACTTAGTCCATCTGCGATTTTGCAGGCTATTTTTGTAATTGAGTTTTTTTGGCTATTTTCTACAAAGTAATTATCGGTTTTGGTTATATTTTTAATTTTCTCAAATTTTATTTGTTAATACCTATTCTTATTAACTTAAAAGATTTATTATGTCCATAATTGTTTAAGCACATAGTGGGCCTGTAATGTTAGTTGGGCTAAGTTATTAACTACTTAATACATTAATAAAAATATAAAAGCCCAATTAGCGAATGCAAGCAAAACCCTGAAATATTTGATATTGAATTGATATATAGCCGCCATCGTCTCTTCCCTCCGGCCACAGGGTAAGCTCGCAGAAGCAGGATCTCGGAAACGGCAAGCAATGGTGACTGCTCCGCCGATATACTCTCTATGAATCAATGCGTATGTGTGTTTATATGTATATGTAGTAACTCCGTGTGATTAAATTTACAGGGTAAAGGTACAGGGAGTTTCGGTAAGAGAAGGAACAAAACCCACACACTGTGTGTCCGGTGTGGTCGTCGGAGTTTCCATCTTCAGAAGAGTCGATGCTCTGCTTGTGCTTATCCTGCTGCTCGCGTCAGGAAATGTAAGTTTTCTGTAATTCTGTTTCTATGTATATGTTTCCATCCGATCCATTGCTTATTGATATCAACGAACGTAGATAACTGGAGCGTCAAGGCGATCCGAAGGAAGACGACTGGAACTGGTCGCATGAGGTATCTCCGTAATCTTCCCCGCAGATTCAAGAGCAACTTCAGAGAAGGTGTGTTAATTGTGTTACCAAAAGTCGCATGTAATTTTTTCAATAATGGATTTCTCGTGTCGATTCTTACTTAATTAAGAAATTGCTATTGGTTTCTTCGTTTAGGTACTCAAGCTGCGCCTAGGAAGATCGCTGCTGCAACTTCAACATAAAGCTCCAAGGAATCACATCTAAATCGACTATACGGGTATCAATCAAGCATATTTCCTTTAGGGCAATTAGTGTAGGTGAACATCATTTGGAGCGATTAATCCCGTAGTCTGTTCTAAGTTTTTTTTGGGAAATCTGTTATTCTGATTTATGGATGATGATGCATTTTGAATTAAGTGTTTGTGATTTTAAACACCTTTTGCTCTTTATCGATCCTTTCTACTCTTCCATTTGATGATTTGATCTACTTAGCTTATATGAAAGCAACAATTGCAACTTGCAAGTGTCTGATAAAGGTAAAAACTTATCGATGTTCAGTAAATATACAAACTTCCTCAATTTCCCTCTTAAAATCAAGAACTCGGTTTGAAAATAGAACTTCTATTGCTTGCTATGAGGGTAAAGGCGAACTGGGAGACCTTTTGCAGGGACAGGAGTAGATAGATACACAATCTCTTCATTCTCGATCATCTTCTCCAACTTAAAATTTTTCACAAAGTTATGCATGAAAACAAGTATCTCTAATCGGGCATACTCTTTTCCTGGGCACATTTTAGGTCCTCCCCCAAATGGTACATACGAATATGGTTGAGGACCAGATCCTTCAAATCTTGAAGGATCAAATTTCTCCGGATTTGGGAAGTATTTTGGATCATTATTTGTCGTGTTAACATTCCAAAATATCTGCAAAATCCAAACACCCCAAGTGTTAGTTGATTTAATCTCATCCACGGCCTATTAGTTTATGTGTTAGGTGTTTTAGGTTTAACAACTTACCTTCCATCCCTTTGGAATGGTGAAACCTGCGTATTTGAAATCGGTCAAAGCTTCTCGAAAGGCTCCTTGAGCAGGTGGTGCTAAACGTATGGATTCACGTGCCACATTCCAAGAATATTTCATCTTCTCGATGTCTTCCCAAGTTAGCAATTCTCCAGGCTTTTTAGATTTTGTTATTTCCATTTGTTCTTTGAGAACACATAAGCATGAGAAAATAGAAATGTTATTCATATAGACAAAATCCGTAGTTTGGTTTGGAGAATGTTTTCGGTAGGAATGAAATATGTTAAAGGATATAGAATACGAGGGATTGGGATTTGAATGAATCTTAGAGTTCAAGGTTACCTTCGAAAACTTTGTCGTAGATATGCGGATGCTCTGCGAGATGCTTTAAGACAAAAGTTATCGCAACACTGCTAGTTTCGTAGCTAGCAACTAACAAACCGATGATATTATTTGAGATTTCCTTCTCGCTCATAAGACTTCCGTCTTCTTTTCTCACAAGTAGCATTTGTGACAATACATCTTGTCTCACAATCTCTTTACTCTCAGTCAACTCCTTTCTTCGTGTCCCAATAATCTTTAGCAAACAATCACGTAACACTTTCCCTCCTTTCATGGCATGATTATATGCGGTGCCTGGGAAATCTATAGGAACCGAGATCATTCCATTCGTGACTATTCTAAAATTATCCAACGCTTCTGCGACCTTCTCACCATCGTCTTCATCCATAAATAGTTTACACGAAAGGGCAAAAGTGTATTTTTGTGTAAGAGGGTGGACCTTCACTTCCTTATAAGGAGCCCAATCGGTGTCCATATGTTGGTGGGCCATGGTATCCATTATAGCAATGTACTTTTTCAATGCTTCTGGCTTTAGGATTTCATGAACGGAGTTTGCTAGTAACGGGGCTACGATTTTTTGATTTTGATCGATGACTTCGGTGAATAGAAGAACTTTTGTTACGGATTTAGGCCACCATGAGGTGACAAGTTTGTTCTCGTTTGTGAATACGAATTTGTTTCCTTGAGGACCACAAAAGAAGGCCATTTTTTCTCCGAGTAAAGATGTTTTAAATACATCGTTAGAGAAGTTTTTCATCCTTTTTTGGATGAATTTAGGCGGGCCCAATAAGCCGAGATTGATGTTTTCTCCCACGATCGGCCATCCGTTTGAGCCCGGTGGTGCTTCGGGATTGGAAGAATTTCTTTTGAGATAAAATAGGTAAATGAATGATGAAGAGAGGAGTATTACAAGAAGGGGTAGTGAAAATGTGAGAGTTGAAATTGAATCCATGGTTTTGGGATCAAAAGGATGTGTAACGAAAATGTATTTATAAAGGGAAAATTGTTTGATTAAGATTCGTTTGTAGTTGTTGGAGGTTTACGTTGTTTTCGGATAAATGTTGGTCGTGGGGCATATTTGATGCCGTCGAAGAGCACATACATAAATATTTTTTGTGTTTGATGTGCTACTGAGTTTCCTATGACATTCTCGAAAATTTAATGATATTTTTGTTTTTTTCTTTATGTTCTTTTATCTATTGAATGAATATTTCCAAAACGCTTAATAATGATTTGTCAAGATATCACATAATATTTGTGTTTTAAAAGAGATGCGGTTAGGATTTTTTTTTTGTCCCTTATTTGACTTTTACACTTCTATTTTAATTGAAATGAAAGAATTATAACGAGATATATTTTTAAATGTTCAAATTCTAAGTGGAAATGTTGCCTCTTGATTACATATTTACTTTCATAGTTTAAAAACTTAAATAAAAAGTGTCGATGCAATGATACCTCGGAAACAAGCTAGCCTCAAAACGGAAAAATCATTCTTTTGATTAAAAATGAAATTTGCTGTATTTTAAAATGCAAAATGATTTGTTGATTAAAAAGATTATAATCACATCTATGGATGTTTTTTCTGAAATCCAAGTATATATGTTGGAATAACACTAAAACGTCATTGCTTTGGAGAAGGGACTACGTTTCATGGCAACACCATCCTGCACAGCCAATATGGAGCAAGTAAATCACAAAGTCTCTGAAAGTATACAAAGTGATCCCCAAACTTGAACTAAAGAACTCAGTTATGGATTTTCACATGCCAACCATAGTGACAGTTTGACAAATACATTACATGATCCTAGTGACAGTTCCTCAAAACCTCACCGAATTTTACATATGGGAACGTAGTGAAAAATTAAATTTCTTGAGGGTGATTATGGTAAAACTAACGAAACTCGTTAGTTTTGGTAACCCTAAATCCTCATTAAATCCGGATTAACATTACTTGCTTCCAAAGCAACTAATGACGGTCCAACCCTAAAAAAACCCTAATCTCGTTTAATATATAAACAGTTCTTCCTCTTCTGAGGTAGGGGACGATCTTAAGCTCTCGTTTTTCATCATACTTTCACAGAATCTTCTAGCATATTGGCTTACGATTTCTGTGCCTAGAATCGTAAGTGTCCACTTGGATTATCCTAGGCTGAATTTCTTGTAACCCAGACATAGGGTAGAAATATCAGTTCGGAAAGTGATATCACGATCCAAGTCGGTATCCAGATCTCAACTACAAACCCTAAACTTCCCTACATTTTGGTTCTTCCGGTTTTGGTTATAATCGGGTCTAAAAACCAAAACCAACAATTGAAGAGTTACTTTTGCCCCTCGTCTGAAGAGTATACGGCATACCTTCTGTGATCATATATATATATATATATATATATATATATATATATATATATATATTATATATATATATATATATATATAGCTCTTACTCATGCATGTGTCTGTCGACATTCCCCTCAATTGATCCTCCATTCTCGATCGTTTGCCTCCCTTTGGTGCTTTTTTCGGCGAGTCTTCACCATCAAAGAATCATTCAAGTAACAACATTCCCACTTTGTCTAGTCAGATAATTGGGCTTCGAGTCAAGAAACTCAAATAAGCATCATATATACGTTAATATACTAATCAAATGTTATTATTTCAACGTCTTATGTTACTCTTTGAATATGTTATGTTAATGTAGTGTTACTTAAATTTCGATGGTTTCAATGAGTTTTGTTTTAGCTTTCAGTCACTCGTTATTTCAATGTATTATGTAAATGTGGAGAACCTACATTACCCTTCTATTATATTAAAACCAATGTGTTATTGTGCTTTAGATTGATGATGAATATGTCTTGGTTGACGACACTCAAAATGAAAACGTCTGACCAAGTGAAACAACTAAGAAGAGGAAAAGAAAATATAACCATAGGGCATCTTGTTGGGACGATTTTGATGAAGTTTTTGTTGACAAAGTTAAACTTGGCAAGTGCAAATGGTGTCACACGTTGCTCAACGCCGGTTCAAACCAAAACGATACTACTTGTATGAATAAACATGTGAAAATTTGTAAAAATAACCCAAAAAATTTAGAAAACCAATACACTTTAAATTTCAAAAAAGAAGCAAACCAGGAGAGTAGTGTTGGCACTTGGAAATATGATGGAAAAAAAATAAAAAACAACTTTGTCAAACTTATTTATAGTGGGTGAATTACTATTCAAGTTTGTAGAGATAGAATAATTTATTGAGTATAGTAATGCATTGAACGAGAAAATGGTTTTGCAATCAACCGAGCTTAAGTAAGTAATTCCCAATATACCCATCCATATGTTATGATTAGTATGCCAGATATATGAATTGCATGCTAGAGTAGGGCTAGGGATACCTTTAGGAATCGTATGATAGAATTGTCTGATTTGTGTGATGCCTTATAGCCTAGGAGAACTGGATGCTATGTGCTACTTGGACTTGATATCAACTTAGTTAATTGCTAAGTTTATGCTTTAAAAGTTGTATACAATTAGGTTCATATAGCCCTAGAATGATCGATTCAGCCTCATTTCCCGTTCCTTGTTTGGTTGTGGACTTAGGGTAGAATCATTATTCAACAATATATATGACCCCATTTTGTGTACAACTTGCATGCATAAGGCAACCAACAGTGTTGGTTGATGTTCCCTGCGTTGCATGACAGTTGGGTTGAGAATTCCTAGTAGAGTCTAGGAAATGTCGTAGTAGGATAGGTATGTTGTTTAGCATAGGGATAGTGTGTATGAATTTAGTGTGGTGACTTAGAGGATTCAGGATGATCCTTGAGGAAAGTACAGATAGGTGCAGAAGGTAGTATGGGGCCCGTACTACTTAAAGCACATGATCTATACTCGAGACAAGGATTATCTTGAAAATCCTAAGGAGCCTATGGAATGGAAGTTCCCTCATGATTGTGCTGATCGTTTGTATGTTTGTATTTCAGTTGGGTATGACGATCACCCAAGGAGGAGCTCCTGGATTAGGTTATGGGTCTGGACCAGAACCAATTGATGAGCGGTTGCACGAGTTTATTACATCTGAGATTACTCGTGGTATC